GTATCCTGTCGCAGCGTGCATAAAACAGCCAATGACCATTGAGAAATTCGATCAGCATCAGAACCTGTTCGCGATCCAAAGTGATTGTGCGACACCTGGTTTAGTCCTTGCTAAGTGAGCGAAGTACGAAAGAACACGTCTGTTTGCAATTTGCTCTTATGTCAAATTTATAACTAGAACTTTCGTTTCACGATGACAATTTGTACAATTTCACATTATGCTCGAGATGACACAAGAACTACGCTTAATAGAGAACTCGCCGCGTAAAATGCAGGTGCAAGGCCCCTTTAAGACATGTTCTACTTTACTGGAACATCATGCAGCTAGGCTACAAGGACTGCACTATTACAGCTTGAGACTATGAAGTGCTGGGGCTTTTTTTATTATTCCCATGTCTAGTACACCTTTCATGGTTGACTGTACGGTCTTGCCACATGTAAGATGAAATGTCAGTTTTTACACTTAGTACAGTTGTTTTCAGCTTAACGCTGATATGAGCATTTCGTGCAAATAGTGACAGTACTTTTGGTAAAGCTCACGCAATGTCAAGAAGTGACGCACCTGCAAAAGCAAAACAATACATGCACACAGTACACAACACTGGTTGAGCAGAACACACTTTATTATGTTGCAAGTCCGTGTCGTCAAATTAGCGTGCAGTTCAACTAGAATAAAATAACAATGAAATAACAGGCTCTCAACCACAACGAACGCATTGCAATGCACAATTAAAATGTCGAAATTTGATGTGATGACCCCTTCTGTGATCTTGACTAGATACATGGAAGTCTACGATATAATGGTCACTACGAGATTTACGTAAAACTGCTCAACATGGCAACTTTGGCTCCCACGCCTCAGTCACGTTCTATGCTGATGTAAATTCAGACTGGATTAAAAGGAGAGGCCTGCATAAACAACATTATATAAGATCAGACCAAGTTTGACTCCTGTTCATACAACTGGCTTAAGTTTCTTGGATACTTTGCAACAGATCTTAGTGAACATTCTACTTGTTGTGCTGCTGAAATTCCTATTCAACAACATGAACTATGCGTAGAGTGTATCTTGTAATAAAATATATGCTTATCAATACATCTGTCCCGCTGAGCAGAGGCCGTGCAAAAGTCTTTTTGACGAAATCTTTTATGCGAGCTGTAACATGTGCACCCAAAACGCCATGACACAAGCTTAGGAATGACATCTTAGATCTAGTTTGAAGCCACGCCTCGGTTTATTGCAGCGAGCGCTTGCACCTGCGTGATGCACGCAACTGTACAGGACTGGTTCGCTGTTTCCATGCATTCTTGTGCATGGTTCAAATGTGGCTTGTGTCGATACTTCTCAACAAAATGACGTAACATTCATTGCTGCCAAGACTTGCCAAAAGGTGCGTAGGTAGGCTTCGCTAACACGTGCACAGTCACGAAGTGACTTCGTTTTTCCCCAAGTCTACTGCACACATTGCTTGCGCCTTCGTTCAATATTCGTAACCTGAACGTGCGAAGGAAACGTCAGAGCTGACCTGCCGCTGCGGGCCGCGACGATACACAAGCCATGAAGATCATTGAGAAACTTGTGAAGTTCGGCGTTTTCATACATCATCAAGCAATGAAACTTTTTCTTGTGTGGCATGAAGCATATCAATGAAAAAGTGTTACGTAAAGTAATGTGGATCAATTAGGCCATCTATCCGAGTAATTAATGTGAGGTGTCATTAGCCCGGCATTCTATTTCAATGGGACAATGTTTAAGTTTTCCAGACACGACTAGCAATATTAGCATACCAATAATCAAGACATGAACGACAACATTAGCATACCAATAGACAAGCGAGTATCATACAAGAGTGGTCCTATGTGAATGTAGACTGAGCCTAGCAATAAGCCGTTTAAGGTAAGGCTTATTAAAATCTTACAATGACATCCATTTAGCATTTTTTTGAGTTCGATACAGTACATTAATGGTTCTTTCAGATCTTCTTGCTTGATCTAAATGGCATTCTCGCTTGACCTAAAAATCTGCCTTCAATAGATCACCAGTTTTTTAACAAATTCAGTGAGCTATTAGTGAACTGAAGTACATCCAAACTGCTGTTTGGGAACAAGCTTTGCTAAACAGAAACACTTAGTTCTAGCACTGTTATACCGAAATGCACAGTCTAGAACAGTGCATACTACATTTTATTGCACAAAAAAACAATTTTTTTACTTGCTTGGTAACCATTATGCCTTTGCTATGCGATGAAGTGCCTCTAATGCATTGGAAACATTACCGTAGTTAACATTTGATGCCACGGTTGATGCCACTATTTGTGCACATGTAATGTGCATGGCATTCTTTCATGTCAGCCTGATAAACTGTCCACAATCATATTCAGAACAATGCTCTTAAAATAATTCCACATACCGGCATTATCCATTATTTGAAATGCAAGTGCTATATAATTTTTAAATGATTATCATAAGTCAATGGAGTTTTCTTATGGTGTATCTGCAATCGAAGTATGACCCATGCAAACGAAGTATCGCAAAAAACCTATTCAGTGTATTCAATTATGCTTCCGCCCTTATTTATCATTGGAATTTTCCCTACTCGGTTTTCAGCATATCAACACATTTAGGGAAACCTAAAAGTTCCTTCAACATTTTTCGAGGTAATTATCGAATTAACTCGCTCTAAAGGTTCAATGTCTCATGAATATTCTGCCATAAACTTTTTTTTTAAATATGTCAAGCACGAGCAAAGGTACAGAAAGTTATCATAGGGTAAATGACTTTTTTTTTTTTGGTCTTTTGTCTCAATGGCCAAGTTGGAAGCCGCACAGGTGAAGGTGGGAGTCAAGGGTGGACAAGGGGGGTGGGGGGGGGGTGGAAGGGATATTGGCCTTGATAACGACGTCAGTCAATGGCTGTGTCACACTCACTAGCTGCTCACTTGGCCAAAGAGAGAGCAGGCAATTTCTGTCAGTTTTCGAAATGAGATTGCAAATTTTCATGCAGCGCGCAGTGCCATAATATTTGGCTCGGATGTCTGCGGGCTGTTTCAGTGCTGATTGCCTGTTTGAGAAAATGTTGGAGGGTCAATTCAAATTACGCACGTACACATACACAGAATAGGTCAACACCTTCATTGAGACACAGACACCGCGTTGCATATCTCCTTCACTTTGGTTCACGTGTGATTCGAAAATACTTTTTTTAAATCCCCAGTGCGAAAAATACCAGTGTAATCTAAAAGAACTTGTTTTTGGGCTAGTTGGTGCATACTTGGTACAGAAGACTGAGGAAGAAAAAAACATATCGTGAAGCAGGAAGAGCAAGAGAGAAGGCGCTGTTCTGTCTTCTCTCTTGCTCTTCCTGCTACACGATATGTTTTTTGCACCTCAGTCTTCTGCACCAGTGTAATCTGTTCGCCAATCTAGCCACACATGAAAATGCGCATATGGCCATCAGCCTCAACATGGCACCGGTGTACTTTCCAGCAATGTCTTTTTTTTTAGCTTTTCATTCTGAAAATCCTGGTCACAAAAACACTAAAAAGCAAAAGCGTTTTGCTCTCATTAGTAAACAACTATTTCACGATATCAAAAACACCGTGCTTTTTGCGAGAGGACGGTCCAGAAGCGAGAAATGTGCAAAAGGAAGATGCAGGTGGTGATGCCACCTCGAAATTCCCACAGCACTTGCGGTGACACGACATATTTTGACGGCACCTACCGGGACCTGCAGAGTTCTTAATCTCTAAAAATGAAGTACATTGACTTCTGAAGGGACCACAGACTTCACTGACCAAGTCTGGGGAAATTTCTTTGAGCCAACAGCGCCAAGATACGATAAATACACTATGAAATCTGCAACGCCACGGGTGGAAATTCCCAGCGTGAAATTTAAAAATGAAATTTTGAGCCCGATTTTCCCCTCTATTAATAAACGTATGACAGTGAAATTATAGACATCAGAGTTCACAGCGTACAATTTGTCCGTCTAAACTGATTCAGTTTCTTTTCAGTGCCCCTTTAATGACAAGAGCTTGTAAATTCCTGGACCCTGGATGGGTTTCATAACTTGTAAGTTTTAATCTACATTTATTCAAACAAACAAGAAAGGGCTGCTTTTACTAAGACCGTCTTTCAAGTGCCCCACCAGAACGTGAAATTAATATAAAGTTAAAAAAAAAGCAGGTCAAGCAAAATAGTCCCAACTATCGCAAGTTGTCATAATCAGCCTGCACTCAATTCTAACAGTGGCCCCCAGCTGTATGTTTGCAGCATTAAGGAGGATGCGTCGTCCCTTTTTCGCTGCCTTTTGGGCTCCGACGATGCCACCCGCATCGGTGGCGCCACGTGTGTGTGTCGTTATATCTGCTGTTGAGTCGCGCCAGGAATAGAAACATTCAATACGAATTGCCCTGGCTTTTGGAACATTTTTTTTCACATAATCTCCAGTTCCAAATATTTGGCAGTGTAACTTCCAGACTTGCAGAACTAAATTTCGGTGAAAATTACACCATTTTTGAAGAGGACCAATTCATCACCCTCAAGATCCTAGCAGAAAAAGCAAAAACTTTCCATCAGAGGCTCGCTATCTCTAGTCGTCCCCAACCACTGGTGATTGCTTGTGGCAGTTGTATTAAAAAGTGCAGCATGATAGAAACACATCCTAGGCAGCACACATTTCAACACATGTTTCACGAACGCCAGCAGCGTTGCTGCGGATGCACCACGAAAACTGAATTCCCTGTTTTTTTTTTTTTTTTTTTTTACTTAATGGGAGTAACGTGGCTAATTCGGTGAAAAGGTGAGCGGTGAAGTGGGCAAAATTACATGGCCTTGTAAGCGTGTAAGTGAAGTACCACTAATTGATCACATCAGAGTGAAGGATTTCAGTCACTGTGTAAACAAGATCATTCGCTGACAGAACAACCAGTAATTTGTGCAGTCGAAACAACTACTAGAAAACAAGTGCAAGCAAAATGATAACACTCTCCACAACAATGCATTACTGACCCATCGATATTTATAGACCTCGTTACAACACCAGCCTGATGAGCTGCAAGTATTTTGTATTGAATCAGAGCACATGGGTCACCCACACTACACACTAGGTGCGACATGCATGTATCCGTAATACCGACACACACCTTCTAATCCGCATAAAAAAAAAGCACTGGTTTGATTAAAGAGAAGCAAAACTTTCTCATCTGCATTAGCATAGCACACATGCCGAATGAAGCTTTTTTTTTTTTTTGGCTAACACATAGTTAAAACATAGCTGTAGCTATAAATTCACAAAAAATCCTCAAAATAAAATTACGTGTTAAATCTTACAAGGCTACCATTATACATATTGCACACAGTTTTAACATCACTATGGAGTGCGCGTCCATTGGTCCAGGTTTGTGTGCATCCGCCATTGCAGAAGAAACACCGTGAACTCCTAAAATTGTATCCAACTAAAGAGCTTACGATCTTCGCATTCCAATGTTACAGTCTGTACATTCACGCTACTGAAAATGCTTCAGTAAAAACAAAGTAAGTTAGTTTCTTAAACTGGTGTGTTGAACCATAAAATGCAGTCAAGCTCCAATTGCATGTAAAAGTTTGACGTCAGTGGAACGTGTGTTAGGCAACATTTCAACCTTGTCATTGCAGCCTACTCCAACAGACCTCGTCTAAATTGGCCGTCACAACGGCAACCCAGGCAGTCAAGGTGCACAACCCAAAATACAGATGCAGCACACAGACGTTAAGGACACTACCAAAATAGTTGACACTTATGTGAGCATAATTATCTAAAATACGTCAAATATAAATGTGCGAAATTGAGCAGCCTACCAGTCAAATTGGAGGCAACAGATGGGCAGTTCCAGAGAGTACGAAACGTGAACGAACAGCTCGTGAGTGATGCGGGATGCCAGGATAGACATTTGTGGCCCTCTTCTCGCCATTATCAATAAAAAATAAAGAAGAAAGAAACAAAAGCTGAAAAATAGGGCGCACCGCACAGGTTGCAAAACTGCTACTCGACCTACAGTGCCGAGTTGCGGAGCTTCAAAATGTGGGAATGACCACGTGACATTTGGAGACTACTCAATTACTCATTGATACAGAGTATGTTGTCTCAAACAGCTCTCTTATGAACTGTGCAAGGACAACATATTCCGTATCAATGAGTATTTAGAGTTGTCTCCAAATGTCATGTGGTCATTCCCGCATTTGAAGCTCCGCAACTTGGCACTGTAGGTCGCGTGGGAATTTTGCATGTGGAAGCGCCTCAAAAGTGACAACTGCTCTGACCCGTTAGTAAATGCACATCCATCACATCGGCAACTAGCAGCGGACGCGACCAAGTTGGTCGTGAATGTTAGCTTTGATTGAAATGCGACAGTCTTGGCTCAGTCGCGCGCTGCTGGATTTGTCAGCCGTGCAACTGCATCGCAAAGCCGGTGAACAGACGAGACGCGCAACAATAGAACGTCCAGTTCTTTTACGAGGTGATGGCGGAATGAATAGACATGAAAGGTGTCACAATGGCGAGGCATTTCACTAGGCTTGTACGAATAGTTCATTTTAGGTACAAAGTTAATTTGAAGCAAATAGTGATTTAGTTCAAATAATTTTGAATTAAATTTGAGTAGTGTAAGTCGCATATTATAAAGAAACATGAGCATATAAGTGACGACCCAACATAATTGCATAATATTTTTAAAATATTGAAACAGGGCATGCACAAATGTCGTTTTTTTTTGTTAAAAGAGAGTCAAAGCAACTTTGAATCGCAGCAAGGTTTGACTTCGGTAGAATGCTAGCGATAACAGGTAAAACATGATCCATATTTAAATTTTACTATACTTGGAGCATTTAGGCCTTATAGTAAGGCAGTTTAAACTTAAATGAGGAAAAAATGATGTGAGGGTAATACACTTAGACTTCGATATAACGAACCCGGTTATAATGAACTCAGATATAACGAAATACTGGTTATAACAAAGTAAATAAAAATTAGTCTTGCAATAGATATAGAATTAGGAATAAACCTTTATAGCAAATTTTCGGATATAACGAACTTATTTTTGTGTAAGATGCAACTTTGTTATAATGAGGTTTGAGTGTATGTGCATTTACTCTAAAGTGGGGCTTTGCGGCAGTGCAGCTTTCCCTGGAAATGTGTATTCATGGTATAGCACCCTTCAAGAGTAGTGAAATCACCTTTACAGGAGTTTACAGGAAGATTAATACATTATGCATTCCTACTCGTTCGGTTCGAACACTTCGAAATTTCCGATAATTTATAAGGGCCCTGCAACACTTTTAGAGCATCGTCAGAAAATGCTGCTAATCAGTAGTAGAGGCTCCCGAAAACACGCGAGCTAAATATAACCTGGACCACATAACCACATAACCTGGAATTCACAATAAATTCTCAGTCAGCTAGAAACTGCCGTCTCTTCTCTCGACAAATGACGGAACAAGCTCAAAAATCTCTCGTTGCAGCCACTGTATCAGCCATTGAGTGATTTGAGCATGGCACACTTGGTCAGTGAAAAGCTGCATACTCTAAAAAACAGGAAAAAACAAAGAAAAAGCGCTCGAGATCACAAGTAACACGTGACGTACTTGTGATTCCCCCCCCCCCCTCCGTGCTGTCGCTCCCTGCTTAGCTTCCAGTGCTTTTGTCGGGACATAGCACTGTGTGAAAAATCTTTGCAACTCCGCTCGTACTGGATGGATTTTAAAAATGTTTGAGACAGTGAATTTGTGAGGCAGTAGGCTCCTTTACTGAAACCATTTCGTGGCTACTTGAATAAGTGTTGCAGAGCCCCTTTAAATTTGAACGTGTTACTATTTGTTCAAAGATTCGAAGTGCTGGAATATTTGCACACGCCTACGTTTCACCGAGATGAATGTAACGCCTGCCGGTGCAAACATCAGTTACTTTGTGTCGCTTCTATGTTACCAGTTGCAAGTGACACACATACACATGCACACACACACAAAACGCACACACACACTCTCTGTGGTGTCTTTTTGTTTGTCCCAGAACAATAACAGTCACCCAGCTTACTTGCAGTTTCTGTTCGGAAAACTCTTTCGCTTCTCTAATATAAAAAATGCCATGATGTTAAACGAAAGCGCAAATACAATTCCTGACCTGAATGTCACTGGGGTATGCAGTGTCAAAGAAAGAAAAAGCATTCAAGTCAGACGAAGATTACTGTTGCGTCAGGAAAAGACTCATGTTGCAGTACAACTGCCTTCGTCGAGTTCAACTAAATGAGTGCGAGATAACGTGCTAAAAAAGAAACCAACGCCCACAGAAATTGAGAAAGTCATTTTCACACAGTGCAGTCTCGGATCTTTTACACCCTCCTGTATGCAATCATATTTTTTTGTTTTTGCCCCACAGCCGTCTTTTCACCATCATTCTTGCACACCTTTCAACAATGCTACGACACCCCCGTCAGCGGCGCTACAGCTTCTTCGAGAGTCTCATAGAATTTTCAGCTGTAAAGTACTGGGCAATCAGCATCAAAATAAAGAGGGAGTAACAATTGTTTTTACCTCTGCATGACAAAGTTATTGAACAAAGAGCATAATTTTACACCAAAAATAGTGTAAAAGAGCAAGCCGCGTAATTCAGCATCACAGAGGGCATAAAGTAACCGTGCAGCTTTACACCGCTCAGGGTGCAAATTACAGAGTACACCACTTCAGCAACGCCTACATCGAAATTTCAGACGTCGTGTGCGGGTAGCTCAATACTGGTCAGAAGTTTTATACACATCCTTTTACACATCAGAGCAATACAGTTGCGCTATACACATGCGCACTCTTTGCTTCCACGTCGGTGCATGAAAGAAAGACAATTGAAGGACGGCACCATGGCTTGCACAAAATATACGGCCATCTGCTCCGCAAAATCAATTCTTGGTCAATGGCACTTTTTTCGGCTCCCAAAAGAGCACTTTTACACAACATTCATTCATACAGGAAGTAGCGAAGCGGTGTGGAACACAGAGGTGCAGCAGGCCCCTTCCAGTAGCACAACACTAACAATTCTGAAAGTTTTTCAATTCTCTGTGGAAATGAACAGTAGGACAAGCCATACAAGAAAAGGTGTTCAGCTACGACTTGTGGCCCCCTTTTCCTTGACACATGCCTCTGGAGGTTGTCACAAAAAGAATGTATTGTAACAGGAGCCGATGTATGGAACAAGGATCATTCCCAAAACTTCCTAGGGTGCCACAGTAGAGAACTCAGGCCACCAAAGAGATAGTTCAAGGTGCGCAGACAACTTGAGTTATCGCAAGTCCAGCAAAGCACTTGAGCTCTCGGGAAGTTGGTAAACAGCCAAACTGACGGCAAACTGTCCAGTCCAAATACGAATCGTGCCCAAACTCCAACCATACTGGCACCCTCCGGCCCTGCTCTGTGAACTAAGACCTCCTGCTAGCATGTGGCTGTTTATTTCCAACATGTTCTCTGTGAGGACGTTTGTTGAAGAGTTAAGCAGTTCAATTCTTCAGCTATGCATGGCAGTTTGTTGGCAGTCTCCTTCCAACCGTACAGTTATTCAGGCCGTCTCATCCTTCGGGAATCAGATTGTTGCCTGCTGCCGGGTCTTTCTTTTTTATACGAGGCTCGCAAAGCTGAGACTCCTACAGGTCCAGAAGACGCAGTAGTGACTGAGTCATGCAACACTAAACTTACGTTTAGTAAACAAGGTCGTAGACGGCCGTTAACAATATGGTACAAAACAGTATTTGGCGTCCAAACAAATATTTACACCTTTTCTACTTGCACGGCACATGCAAGTGTGGTACAGTTGGAAGCACTCGCTCACGGAACTGTCACCACTACAGCGTTCAGGCCATCATGTCTCCTAGGCAGAGAGCAGTGACTCAACACAGCACTCGGATGGAATCGTGGAGCTTCATCAGACCTTGATGGCACCTGTGAGTGGAGGCGTGCTGGAGGCCCGCTGCAGGATACGGCTGCTGCGAAGCTCCTCTAGAGCGCTGGACACGGGTGTCTTGGTGTCAAAAAAGCTCGCCAGGTGTTCATCCTTGTGCAGGCACGCTCGGAATTGCTGGAAGCTGATGTGCCAGTGCCGGTCCCAGACGTCTGACGAAACGGTGGCCGCCGTGGCACTGCTGTCTCGGGAAGCTTCCTGTGTGCAGAAAAGAAAAAAAAATATTGAAGTAGAAAACCCCTTCAGTGCACCTTGAGACACTGCATAAGTATTCCTGGAAATTCTATCATCTAGTCAAAATTGGGCAATACCAACAGTTGTAGGCTATCATTAGTTTAAACCGTCATGTAGGCAAAAGAAGATAGGCAGATTGGGCGAGTTCGTATAAAGTTCTATAAAACACACAGGGAAAAAGAAGTGACACTAATGACACTAGTTCAGCATCGTGTGTGTCACTTCTTTGTTTTATCCTGTGTGTTAAATGCTGTTTTATAGATTTATCAATTAGGCAACATTAGCCACCATTAAAAACCGTTTAGCCAACACTGCCCAATGCCAGCCAATGTTTTCTACAACTAATCAGCGTGCATGGGACCACTAAATGAGAAAAATTGGGTAATCGTAGTCGATATATACGGTAGTAGAAAACACCTCTCTAAGCAAATTACGAAGGGGGCGGGGTCTGCAGTTTGCTAAGATACATACATGTGGAAAGATTTTTATTGAGCTGCCATGCTGCTACACATTATCAGGATAACCATAACAGAGACGCCGCCACAGAAAAAAAGGAAGAGGTGCATCTGCGGCATGTGGTGAATTGCGGAGATTTGGGCTCCACACAGTGCTGGCTGAATGCTACTAGCCATGGACTATGCACCTGAGCTAAATAACATGGCAATCTTCCGCAACATGCAAGCACACAAAGGTATTTTTCCCGGAGACCTCACCAAAGAATGCTTGCACAACGTAAAGTTATCCAGGTCCGATGCACAGTTTTATACAAAACATTAGCTAAGATAACTGTGAACAATGCTATTTACTGCTCCGGTGATGAAAACACACAAGAACCCTGCAATCCAATACACTCATACCTTCTTATAACAAACCCAGATATAACGAAATATTGTTTATAACAAAGTAAATGAAGAATAGTCTTGCAATAAATGTAGCGTTAGAAATACACCTTTATAAAAAAAATTCGGTTATAACAAACTTATTTTCGTGTAAGATGCAACTTTGTTATGACGAGGTTCATGTGTATACTGAGCCATTTTAGGAGTGTCTGGGGCATTCAAACTTGAGACAGAGTTAAAAATCAGATAAAAGGCAAAACCTAGAAGGTACATACCACATTCACCTTAGTTCACGTGAGATAACACGACAGAGTACAGGTAAACGCCGCTCGCATTCATGGAACTAAAATGTGATCATTCTATGCTGTAGGGGTTCGAAGCTGCGGCTAGCTTGAGAACCCGTCGGGGAAGAGGCGGAGACCGACAGAAACCATGTTTACTGATCGAAGCCCGGGCCACAACTGCCAGCGGCTGCTGCTTGCCACGATCGCGCTCGCGACCGTTAATGTCTCCTTTTTTTTTTTCATGTCGGTGCGCTCGCGGCCGATGCTTCCATACTGCCCCCTCCCCTTTGACAAAAGTGGATAGAAAGAGGTGATGCGGTCCCATAATGCGAATCAGACCAAGTATGTGTTGGTTTAACTCTTACACAGAAGAAACCAGCAAACTCATACTGAGACAATCGCTTGGATGTACTGAGCAATGTTCACAATGTTTCGTTGTCAGAATGTTTCATTGGTTTACTGTAACCTCAATGTGCAAAAAAAAATCTGCTTAATTCAAACTGCTTTGTGGCTAATATCAATTTGTCTGTTGCCTCATCAGTAAACATCCAGTTGCGCATGGGTTGTCATTTCTCTTCTTTTTTCCCCATTTCGCATTGTGCCCCGCTTGCGTAATTGAGACCAGCTTTCGCAGTGACCACCAACAGTGGGCACCTTGTGATTTCCGAGCTATGGAAGCCAGACAGCCGGTTCTGGTCCTGAATGAATACAAAATATTCATTGCATTAAGTTACAATGCTTATCGTAGTGCAGCCAGTTAAGATGCCGTTGTTTGCTATGGCATGCTAATTTGTGCAAAAGTAGGATGCAACCATTGTAGATTAGGCCGAGTAAAATGAGAGTGCCTGAAGTCTCACCCATTTTTTATTTAATGATGCAGAACCAAATAAATGCTCCCTTTACAGTTACCTTCATCTTGTTCGCCTACTCCATCCACCATTTTCAGGTAGCAGACATTGTGATACACCTAACATGCTATTGCTTCTAAGAAGCTGAACTCTTGATAAGAAAAATTTTCACACTCCTCTCAAGGCACCTTAGCTTGTCCTTAAAAAAGACTACATTAATTTATTAATCTCTGACATCCCTTTAGTCAAAGATGTGATTAGCAAAATTTTATTGTTAAATGTCCAAATCAGAAACTTGCAGAAAACAGTGTAAGACATTGTGATAGTGTCTTCCTAGTAATGTCCACATTCCATCTCATTGTCACATGGTAGAGAAGGAATGCCTTGAAATATAAAAAGAAATGCCAACACATCTGCGAAGGGAATTGCGAGGACATGTGAGTGCATTGCGTAGCATCCATAACGGCGTTTTGCACATGAGAACTCAGCATTAGAAGAATAATGTTTTCTTTTCTTTCTCACACTGAGCAGCCAATAGCGCCGTACACAGCACGTGGCATTTTTCTGTCGCAAGAAACGCAGTACGAGTTTCAAGCTCTAGTAGCTAGTGTGCAGGGTTCAAAAATACTATGAAGCGAACAAAAAAAACCAGCATTCTCAGCTCGGCGTTGGAGTTAACAGCGGCGTCTCAAGCACACATTTCTGGATTTTCTTGAGAGGCGCCCAGCCAGCGAACGGTCGAGAGTGGGCGATGTGGGAGCGGACTGGAAAGTGGAGAGCAGGGAGGAGAGAGAGAGCGAACGACAAGAGAAGGAATAGCGAAGCACTGAACCTACCCTCTCCTACACTCTCTCACACCACATGTCCCGGTTGCTAGGGGCAAGAAATAAGCGCGCACGCGCTTATTTCTAGCCCCTATAATAATCGAGAATTTATTAAAACTCTTGTGATCATCGCTGCTTCGGTCAACGGCAGATCCACAGCTGGCTTCTCAACCAGGAAAGACTGTTGCCGCTTCTGTCCTGTTGCATAGCATTTTTTCTTTTGCAGCCAAAAAAAAAATCAGCCGCAAATGGTCACACTTTATGACAGCAGCACTGCAAGGTACAGTTCAAAAAACAAGTGCCACGGTTAAACTCACCCCATATGTAGCACTGTCTCCACCAGAATGCTCTACTGCTGCATTGTCCGACTTGGTCTTCGCCTCGTGGTTCATCTCGCCCATTTGCAGCAACTCAGTTCCTACGAGTGCATATAGTAGCAAGACAGCAAGCTGGGATTCTCCCAGTTGGTTAGGATTCTTCTTGAACTTCATCACAGCACAACACTAAGACATGAATGCAAATTGTTGTTCATTTTCATCCCTTTTGTGTATCCTTAGTGTTGCACTGTAACGAAGTTCAAGATAAGGGTATCGAGGTGTGCAATGGGAGAGATGGGACAGCTTAAAATGGGCCATGATGTAGCTGACAAACTTTCCCACTTCATCACTGCGATTAGGCTTGTGCAAATAGTGAATTTTAGGTTCGAAGGAAATTCAAAGTGAATAGTGATTATGGTCGAATAATATATACGACATAAAAAGAAAAATGGGCACATTTATTATTACCTAACTAACCTGCACAATATTTTTTTAAAACTGAAATAATGCCTCTACGCAAATGCGTTATTTTTTTGTTCAAAGAAAGTCTAAACAACTTTGAGTAGTAGCAGGATTCGACTTTCAGTAAGATGCGAGTGATGACCAGTAAAATATGTAACATTTGTGGGGATCTGAGGCGCACCCTCAACCACTTCGCGGGCATTCCGCCACACGGCCACACCCTTTTGCTTTTTCTGCTCTGGTAACGGCGCATGGCGATAAAGGGTGCCACGTGCGGGCACGGCACGGCGCATAGCGATAAATGGCGCCACGTGTGGGCACGGCACGTAACACGTGCTGCGCCCGCACGTGGCCCCATTTATTTTGTCATTTAGTTGAGCACGTGTTACGTGCATGCCGAGGGAGCTCTCTCGTCCGTGGTTGGCGCTGGGTAAGCAAGCGTTTTCCTTCGTCCGCGTCCCCTTTGGCAATCGCCGGACTGCAGCCTGCCTGGGGTGGCCTTTGGCACCTCGGCAGGCGTGTGTACTTGAGTGCTAGCTTCGGTACCATACGCTAAGCCCACAGCGGTGCCTAGTGCTTGAAGTGGTCGTACCACACCGAGCCACACTTGCCGTAGGCCTACGTGTACGAGGTTTGCCCTAACACTCGCGACCAGGCCCAGTGGCCAATGTGACAGTGCGCAGCATAGCCGCGAGGGACCTTTTCCCGACCGGTGTGTCAAAGCTCGCCATTGCCAGCTGCGACGTGCTCGCGGTTTCCCCTTATTGTGAACGTCTGTGTGCGGGCGCCTTTGCTCCCCGCGTTCCGGGAGCGGTCGTTGTACTGTTGTTCGGGGTGCCGTCAAAGGCAATGAGGTGTTGTGTATTTTTGTATTTGAACACTGTCTGTTTTGCCGCGCCACGCTAAACGCCTTATTAGTTGAGCGCGCACGGAGTGGTGCGCTACACGGGAGTAGGTGACGGAGTCACGGCCCTGTGGCTCGCTAACATGAACCCGCGGTGATCATCCGCTACGGTGAGTAGCGGGGTCACCATACATTTTAAAATTTATTATACTTAGAGCATATGATCCAGCCTAACAAGCTTCTAAGCTTAAAAAGTATAAATCGATTTGAGGGTAATATGTTCATTTAAAGAAGCCCTGCAACACTTTTTCAAGTAGCCATGTAATGGATTCACTAAAAAATCTTATTGCTTGACTAATTCACCGCCGTAAACACTTTTAGAATTCGTGCAGTACCAGGAAAGCTGCAAAGATTTGTCACATGCTACAATTGCATTCTCTCTTCCCGTCCCGACGAAACCACTGGAAGCTAAGCAGGGCGGGTTGGCAAGGATGCAGAAAATACATCACATGGGCCTTGTGACCTTGAGCTAAAACTTAAAATTCGAATCAAATTGAATTTGAACACTCTACTATTCGTTCAAATATTTCAAGCATTCGAATATTCACACAAGCCTAATTGCGACCGAAAGTAGAAAGGCCTCACATAGCTGCATATGCACATTCACACGACTAAAGTTCAGCAAGCAACTTAATGAAGACAATGTTGCATTTGCTAGTGTTCTTGAACTGTTGTTTTTAAGACAGTGACTTGTCTGACCTATATATACTCGATTGTGTGTATACGTGGGTCAGACAGGTCACTGTCTAAATGTTACACTTCAAGAATATTTTAACTCTTTGAAAGGCTATTCCGGCCTTCATCATGGAGCTGACTGTAGAGACTGCGGCTTTGTGCCGCTCTTTAACGAGACTTCTGTGTTGTTTTGGCATAAAAATGTAGTGGGTGGGCAAACTTATAGAGGCTGCGCATATTCACAAGATTACTGAGTTGTGTGTCAGTGTTCCCTCTGTGGCCATACATGATAAGGAGTTGAGCTTTCTAAATTTTGTATGACGTGCATGCTATTCCTGATGTGGCCTAGGTTTTGCTGACTTGGGCCCTTGTGCGTTTTTCTCCTCCCCCCTTTGCCCTCCCTTGCTTTTCATCCTTTCCTTTACATATTGCGTTACTCTTGCAATAAAGCTTCAGTTGATAGTCTGCGCTTGTCTGTCCTTTTTCTCTACTTCATGTTTCTGTCCTTTTTTTGTGCAGTACATTATGGATCAGTACCAACTAGCCATTCTTCTATAACTACAAGTTGCTCTTCGAGGTTCGAAGACAATGTCAGCCATATCGGCAAAAATTGTGTGCCACTGGAAAGCATGGGCTAGTAACTACATTGGTGCAGATTTTGAAACAGTTTTAACCTGCTATGAATACCTCGTTTCACACTGTGCAACGAGATGAGCAACAAGATTGTTGCCATGAAATTGTGCCAGCAATGACTGCACTTGTGCAATCATAAAGCGGTGCATACCTCGGCATGCCAGCAAAAATAAGCAAGACATTCGGGTTAGTGTGATTGTTCTTGCAATGACTGTATATATTAACCGATTTAATCATGCAATGGGAGTATAAGGATGCAATAATAAAGTAATGAAAATAAAATACAATGGAACGGGAAGATAATCAATGAGAATGCAATGAAGTGGGAGTGTAATGATGCAATGGGAATTCGAAGGCCAACTGCAACGAAATTTGGCACTCCACAAAAAGTCAATATATGGATACTCTAGCAAGAGGTAGTGCTGCCTGCCAAATGTCGCCTTCGAAATACAAGCGCTTCCCTGGGTGCTTTTGAGACCGAAACGGTGTTTTTGAGACCGAAACTAGAAAGAACAATGCCAATACGGCTGACCGGAAATGACGTGAATGACAGAAATATCATCTGCTCTGTGCTCCTTGAGCATGAACCAGGGTTCATAGCACCTGAGTGAAATAAAAAATTCAAGGGTTTTCAAGAACTTTCAAGGACCTAAAATAACACTTGAAGCCGCAGAAAATGACACCACCACTTCTTACAGCATAAAGATTTGTACTTTATTTTGTATGGTTGGCACCATGAACACACTCAAGTTATCATGGACTGTAGCCGCTTTTGTGATTTCAATGTGTTTCATACTTTTAATGTGACTTTTAAAGGCAGACTTTCCCATAGATGACATATCAAAGCTCTTTCGTCATGGGAAAACTTCGCCTGATGCCAGTTTGACATACAAGGTGCAATCCACTCCCTATAAGCAGCAATGCATGACCAAGACAGCTGGAGTTTATACTTGCCCGGCATAAATCCACCGTGAGTGACACGACTGTGAATATACGCACACACTTGCACAGTCTCCACAAAAAAGCCAGGCTTAGCTGTGTCGTTGCTGCTGTAGCCATGCAAGCGCTACCACAACTACAGTATACTAAAAGAGTACACTGTACTACAACACTGCAATAGGGCTAGAGAAATGGATTGGATTGGATGGTTTGTTGGCTAGAGAGCATATAGTTGCCAGGCGCACAAAAAAGTCTGCTAGATTATGGCTAAATGAACTTTGACAAAATTAAAGGACTTTTAAGGACCTAAACAAATTTAAGGGTTTTTAAGGCCTTGAAAACGCCATCTAGGAATTAAAGGGTTTTCAAGGGTTTCAAGGACCGCTACGAACCCTGATGAACATTGCAGACGCGCCCCTTAAGGCTGTTTCACATGTTGCGATTGAAGCAAAAAAAAAATTGTTTCGTTCACTCCATTCACTCTGTTTGCAACCGCCGGTAATGGCGGTTTCGTTTCACATGGACTGAAAATGCTCTGCGATTTTCGCTCTGCAACTGGAGCGGCGATTTTTTGCCACCGTTCTTTGTGGCAGACGCTACGGAATTTTTCAAATGTAATGTAATAATCTGTGCATTATGATATCATTAAGTTTCCGTGAATGGTAGCAAAGGGCCCGCGTGTTTCGTCATTTAAGAACACTTTCTAATCTAAATTAATTTTAAAATGTGCAGCATCGGTCATTAGTAAAACAAACACATCAACGGCTTGGCCGGGCCAGCCCTATTTCGACTGGTCTCGACCAAAAATCGCTCCCACCGCTGCGATGAAAGCGAAAATTTCCAACGTGTTGGTAGCACGCCGCAAACCACTGTGGCGGGAGCCTGACGTTTTTTTAACTGCGAGCGAATTCGCAGCCTGGAAATCGCTACTTTTTGCATCATATGAAGCTGCCTGTAGTGTGTGTATGTTTTTTCTATATTAACTCAAGAGAGCTGTGTGAACATGCCTCTCATCAAATGCTGGTCCGGGCGGTTTCCCACTGGTGGTTTTGCAGTATCTGACCCTTGTATTCAGAAACGCTGCTTGACTTGAACTTGACATGCCAACGACTTCAATGCAGCAAGGACGTGTTTCAAACGCACTGTCTTTAGGCGGTGCCAAGGCAGCACAAAGGCACAGACACGTTTCAAACGCGCTGCATTGAAAGCGGTTTCAACACAGGAAAAAGCGATGCAGTGGCAGGGAGGATTGCTCACAAGGAGCGATGCGGCGACGTTCTGTAGTAATCATCATATCCAGTTCTGTCCGATTTGCCTGGGCACACCGCTATAGCTCTGTGCCGTCTGCTTCCTGGCAATAGCAGCACCAATTATAAATTAAAGACACGACTGCAACATTTTTCACTGTCGTTATTGTAACTTACTGCATATATACTACATGTTTATGGCTGTTTCTGCCCAAGTAAAATTTCGTTGCAGTTGGCCTTTAATGCAAGAAAAAAGTAAAAAAATGGAAGTGTTATGGTACAAAGATAATATAGTGAAATAGGAGTGTAACAACACTATGTGAATGTAATAAAATCTGAACATAATGATGCAATTAGAACGTAATGCAACGGAATGCAAGGATGCAATAAGAATACTATGATGTAATGGTAGTGAAACACAATGCTGTAGTGCGCTAGCACGAATGACTAGGTTAGTTGGTATTTGTCCATTTTTTGACAAAATATAGCATGCACACAAACATGGACGATAGAAAATAGTGTTGATTCCTTCTTCTCGCTAGTGTCCGTTGTAGTGTACATGTATCCCGAAGGAGTACAGCCACTAGCGTGGGTCTGGTCCTAGCGATCCGCAGGGCTGCGTTAACCATCGCCGCTGCACACGCACGTTCGGACAACCATAATGTCGAGCGCAGCGTGGCAAGAACATGGTACTGCTCCCAAAACAAGTCGCAACACTTCATTGCATGCGGCAACACAAAAAACGCAGTACAGAGCCCGTTGCAAAAGGGGTGGTGGGAAAGCAAATAGGCTTATCCACGTCAGGGGCGAGAAGTACTGCACAGAGTGCCACAAGCACATCTCCGTGAGCAAAATTGATTCACAGTGATATCGGGACAACAGGGCCCGGTCGCTCGAGTGAGGTCAAAATCCGCTCGCGTTGGCTTCGAGAGATATGGGTCGGCGTAGTAAGACCACAGGCAAAGACACCGCACCGCTCTTCAGCCTAGCGTTCAAAAGGTGCAACGAAAGGTGAGCGTTCGCCGCGGGTGCTAGGCACCGTTGGCGATGTCTGAACGAGCTCCAAACAAAAGGAGCCAACCGACAGAAAAGAAATGCGTGCTCACCCTACGTCGTCCCGGAAAAGTTCTGATTTGCTCCCCACGCGCGGGCGAAACGTTCCGAGAACTTTTGTGCACGGCGCCACAGTTGACATCTGCTACCAGGTGAGAGGGGTTAACGTCGCTCTTGCTTCCCGGCGCAACAAACCGCGGAGGAGGGGAGAGTCATGTTCGGATATGAGAACGGCAGAAATGGGCGCAAAGCCCACGCATTAGTGGCGGGCCAGCCTCAATTCCCACACTGTGTTTGTGAGCGCTACACATTTTGTCAAAAAATCAACGAAGTTGTAAGCAGACTGGCACAGTCCTGCTCGTTTGGAATGATGGGTGTAGTTGGTGCATGAGAAGGATGAGTGCCGCACTTGCAATACCTGCTTGTACAAGACTGTTTCGGATAATTCTCTCCATAGGGTAGTTCAGAAGGGCACTTTACTGGCTCAGAAATATTTCAAAAAAATTAAAAATTAAAATAAAACTGTTTCGGCACCGCTCCTAGGGCTGCAGAAACTCGACACACAGCAGTGCAACACGGCTGGCGTACCTGTGCAAGCAAGAGCATGGTAGAAGTCCTGCTCGTCCGGATGGCCCACAAACAGGTTGTACACGGTCTGCCACATCTGGACAAACTGTTCCTACACATGCGAGGGACACCGAGTCAGAAGAGGCAACAAGGTGACTAAGAAAGGTATCATGAAGCAAGAACTCCTTCTCAGTTTGCTTGGCACCCAATAAAGAAAAAAGGTACTCAGTGCTGAAACTCGGAACAGGCACACAAACGCTGACGCTATGTGGTTTCATCAACGTCAATAGGTTCGTTCGATTCACCTGCATCACGTTAACCAGTTCACGAGGTACTGCACCTTGCCATTTGTTTCAGCGGTGCAGCATTGACGACCTCTGAACCCTGTTTCAAAAGGTGCAGAAGAGGTGCAGCACTGATTCACAATTTTCCTGCACCTCCTACGCTGACGGTGCTGGCCTGGTGCAGCCATGCGTGCAGCTGAGCAGACGACACAGCGCTTAGGCGTAGGCGCCGTATCCGCCTTACTAACGTGGTGTGTTTTTCCAAGATGTTTGCGCCTCATAAACTGTCCACATGTGCGGTTCGCCATCGGTCAGCATTAGTTGAACAATGTAAATTAAGCAAACAGAAATAAGGCCTGCACCTTGTCAGCACATAGTCATTTGCTTCGGGTGTTGCGCTGTGCCTGCACCACTTAACTCACGCTGCACGATTTATGAACTTCGTGTGCACAGCCGTGAACCGATTATGATTGGTGCAAGTGAATCGAACAGACCTAATGCAACATTTGATTGGGACATGTTTTTACAGCAGCAAATATGGTAAAACCATGACGTTATGATTACAGATATGACAGATCAAATCTAGAATGAATTTCACCAATCACATATGTACTGTACTTGCACGATTGTAGGTTGACCTATTTTATATAGGTTTGAATTTGAAGGCTGAGGGAAGAACTTACAATCGAAACTGAAACTTTTACCACCAGTAATGATGAGACTAATGAGGAATTAGTAATTTTCTGGTGTGATTACAACACTACATTTGCTTTATGGCTCTATAGCTAATACAACTACTGTATTCCTTGAATGTAACGACTGTTTTCCAGGATTTTTGCTACCTGAAATCGACCCTTTCATCACAATTTCTTACAAAAAATTCAAGTTGTCCAAAAAGCGCAATGATGCACCCAATTCAACATGACTGCTGTTTAAGTCAGTGCACAATTTATGTCATCGACATGTGCCTGCCGAATGCTAGATGAACATATTATTATTTTATTTTTTATTTATTGTTACCTCACAGGCCCCATGAGAGGCCTTACAAGCCAACAACCGTTTCTGTTCTGCGAGGGCCTGCGCCTCATTCATGTCTACCACCGCGCAACCATGGCGGCTATCCCCCTCAATCACTTTATCAGGCGTACATGTGCAATTAAACGTGACTGCATTAGTACCACCTGTTGCCACCACAGCGAGTGTAGAACACTTTTCTTTCGGCCAAATAGGCAGGAGGCTTCCACGTTTAAGTGCGCATATATACCTTATAAACAAGGGGGGGTAGCCGCTGTGGTTGCTCAGTGGTAAAGAATCGGACGTATCATTCGAAGGTCGCAGGTTCGATCCCTGCCCACGGCAAGTTGTCTCTTCGTCTGCTTTTCTTTCTTCGAGTTTACATTACAATTACTTCTAATAACGTCCCCTACAATTTCCTTGGCAGTGTTGTTTGCTAGTTCTCATTAATATTGCGTCTATACACTTGTAGCACAAAGGGTAACAGGAAGTCAATAAATAAATAAACTAATAAATCAATCATTTTACCACTCTAAAATCCATATGTATTTCTCAGAAAAAAAATTTTTTAAGTTGATAAGAGATTTATCCTTTCTTAGGAATGAAAACTTAGGGCAAGAGCCTTTCTAGGGTAATTGTACCACTACCCCAGCTGACCAAAAGGCTAGCAGATGGCAGCATCAGGGTAATTTGATCAATAACTGAAAGCATATAGACAGTGATTATAGCCGAGTTGTACAGAAGCCCACAACGTGAAGAGAGGTTCATGAAAGTAACGGTGTCTTCAAAGAATGAATTTAAACCTCTGACAAGAAACAAGTTTTTGATGGGCTAACAAGCTTTTATTTTGAGAAATCTATGTGAACTGCCTTTGAGGCAACAATAATTTCCTTCAGTATACAATTCTTAATTATTTGTCGAATCTTCCTCGTTTGTGTAGCCGCCAATAACAAGCATCTTCATTCCCTGTCTTGCAGTCACGAGAGTCTTACCTGGTTCATGTCGGGAAGAGTCATGTCCGATGGTTTGCTGGAAGACCTGGAGGGATCACCAGTGCTTCCGTCTGCCGAGAACAGAGAAGGATCGCGTAAGCAGGTGGAGATTAGAGTTAACTATGCAGCAGGTCTACAAGGACGCGTGAGTAAATCTAAATTGCACTTAAGTAATTAGGCTAAGTTGTCAGGTTTTGCATGCCCAAACTATTACGTGACTATGAAGCACACTGTATCACAAACTTGAGTTCTTGTCACGCACGAGCACGCACTTGCTAGTGACATCAGCTGAGCACATACATTGTAAACATAAATAACGATGTTAAGGGGAGACGCGGATCGAAAAGTCGCGGTTTTCCGGAAAATTTTCGCTTTTTTTTTTTCCGGCTGTATTGGCATCCTTGGACTATAATCTATTACTTCTGAAAATATCAAGCTGAAATTCGCACGAGAAATTATCAAAAAATGCTTCCAAGTGGGCAGCGGTGACGCGAGAAATGCGCGAAAGTCGCGAAAAACGGCGAAGTTCGCGTCGTCCTGTCGCGAAAACGACGCGTTGGCCGCCATTTGCAATCGTGCACGCATGCTGCGAAGGCCGTATCCTTGATAATCCACTAGTAGCCAGTCTCGTGCCTTCACGCAGAATAAACAAAAAACGAGAAAAACAACGCGTACGTCACGCGTTTTGAATATCGCGGCACACAGTGCGAGGCCGCCATTGGACGGCGGTGCGCTCCACGCTCCTCCCCCTCCTATCTCTCCGGCAAAAGAGCGAAGCCTCGGACGTCGCGATCGAGTTTTTCTGCGTTTCTCTGCATTTTTGCGTCATGGCAAGCCCGAAGAAGTGCAGTTCAGATAATCGAAAGTTCAGAACTCGCCACAAGTATCGAGGGAAACGGCGTCGGACGCTTCGCAAAGCGACAGTGAACGACGATGTCGCCCCCGACCAACGCCCCGACGCTCCGACTTCGGGTAGGCCTAACACCGTCACCGAACCCTACGACAGTGGTTGTGAAATAGCCGCTGCCGTGGAATTCGTCAGTGCATCCCAAAGGAAGATTGGATTCTTCGAGAGTGAACGTAGACCGGTAGATGCTGCTACTGCGAACATGCTGCTTTGCGAAATCGATGCGCTGACGGCACTTGTGGCGGGTGCGCAATGCCCAACCTGCCGCGAACGGAAGCTCGGCGTGCGAGAGGCAGCTGGAAAGCGCAAAGGACTTTCGGCATTCCTCGAACTGTGCTGTCAAAATTCTGATTGCCCTGAATCTGCACTTTCGTTCACGCACACGTCGAGACGTACTGCTTCGGCCGGGGACCAAGGAACGAGCGCTCGTTTTGACAGCGGCAGCTCACGTGACAGCTTTGCTGTAAACGTGAAGGCAGTTCTGGCAGCACGCGCTATAGGCGCAGGCCACGACCAACTTTCACGATTTTGTGCGATTCTCGGTCTTCCGAGCCCGATGCATCACAAGACATTCAACGGCATTTGCAAGAAGCTCAATGGTGCGGCGATGACGGCAGTGAGCAAAAACTTGCACCAGGCACGAAACATCACGAAGGACGCAGTCGGCGGCAGAGATGTGCCAGTCATGTTTGATGGCACCTGGCAGAAAAGAGGTCATAAAAGCCACAATGGAGTGGGCACAGTCGTGTCCCTGGACACGGGGCTCTGCCTCGATTTTGAAGTTCTTTCGAACCACTGCCATGCTTGCAGTATACACAGGGACCTTGGGGAGGATGAAGAGATATGGCGAGCTTTTCATCTTCCAGTTTGCCAAAAAAACACTGACTGCTCATCCCATGCAATGGAACCTGCGGCAGCTGTCAATATATGGCAGAGGACCTTGTCTTATGAAACTCCACTGCGATTCACCAGCTTCCTAAGTGATGGTGACAGCAAGGCCTACACTGCAGTCTGCGAGGCAAATGTATACTGTGACACCCCCATTGACAAAGAAGAGTGCACGAACCACGTTGCAAAGCGCTTGGGAACTGCCCTACGGAAATTGGCAACGCCACTGCCACGAGGCGAAAAACTGAAAGATGCGACAATAATAAAACTACAAACATATTACAAGATCGCCATCACGAGCAACAAGGAGAGTGTCCGAAATATGTACACTGCCATATGGGCATCGTATTTTCATTGCTGCTCCAGTGATGGTGCCAGTAGCCACAACTTTTGCCCCGCGGGACCAAATTCGTGGTGCAAGCACAAGCGTGCGGAAGCACTGGGGGATTCTCAGCATCGCAGTCGGTAGTCGCAAGAGGAATCCGGGAGAGGCAGCTGCGCCAGCGTGGCGACGGCCACTCTTGTACGTTGTATTCCTGAAGTCGCAGCGCCCAATGTGCGAGGCGGCCAGAGGGGTCACGCAAACCGATCAGCCAGCATAACGAATGGTGATCGGTAATTATCTTAAAAGGCCTCCCGTAAAGATAACAACGAAACTTCTGTACGGCAAAAACAGCTGCCAGACATTCCTGTTCCGTAACTGTGTACTTGCGTTCAGATTTACTCAGGCAACGGCTGGCATACGCCACGACATGCTCTGCGCCATTGTGACGTTGCACAAGCACCGCTCCTACGCCGATACCACTAGCGTCCGTGTGGACCTCAGTCTAGCAAGATGGATCGAAGTGACGCAACAGTGGAGCTGACGTTAGTACAAACTTAAGTTGTGAGAATGCGGCGTCACACTCTGGTGCCCAGTTGAAGGTTGCATCCTGTCCCAAGATGCCTGTCAGCAAGTACACGATCTCCGCAAATCGTGGAATAAGAGGACGAAAATATGAGCATAGGCCGACAAATGAGTGAAGTTCTTGTGCGGACTCCAGTGGTTTAAAAGAGCTAACTGCTTCTGTCTTGCGAGGATAGGGTCCGACGCCATCCTTGTCGACCAAGTGCCCCAGCACCAAAGTTTGACGGTCGCCAAAGCGACATTTTTTTGAATTCAGAACCAGCCTAGCTTTTTCAATGCAGTCGAGAACAAGACTGAGACGGTTGTCATGTTGCTCAAATGTACGGCCAAAGATCACAACATTGTCAAGGTAGCACATGCATATCTCCCATTTTAGACCACATAATACTGTGTCTATAAATCTTTCAAAGGTGGCTGGAGCAATACAAAGGCCAAAAGGCATGACATTAAATCCAAATAGGCCATCCGGAGTTACAAAAGTAGTCTTATTTGCCAATAACTGGACCGCAAATCAAGCATTGAAAAACAGGAAGCGGCATGCAAGTAATCTATGACGTCATCAATCCGTGGTAAGGAATATACATCTTTATTCGTGGCAGTGTTTAGACACCTGTAATCTACACAGAATCTCCAGGAACCATCTTTTTTTCTGACAAGAATTACCGGGCCACCCACGGGCTGGACGACTCTTGCACGACACATTTGTTCAGCATGTCCTTTACTTGTTCGGCGATAACTTTGCGCTCAAAGGATGACACTCGGTAGGGCTTTTGGCGGATGGGGTGTGCAGAGCCGGTGTCTATTCTGTGACAAGCGTGGGATGAAGGTAACTGAAGGGGTGCATCTCCATGTTTGAAATCGAAAGCAGCAACACGCCGAGAAAGGACCTGCACCAGCGCTTGCCGTTCCATTGTACTGAGAGTCTTGCTGATCATATCGAGCATTAGATCCTCATTATGGCGAATATCACAAGGAGAGGAAGAGGTGGTGAGGTCCGTAACTAGTGCTGCTATCGAGTTGCATGAGGCTTCATCGAACAGAGCTATCTTCATCCCGTGAGGAAGCACAACCGGCGTGGCAGAACAGTTCAGCGCCCACAATGTTGGCACTCCTTTTGTCATGCACACAAGAGAACAGGGCACAAGTATTTCCTTCTTAGAACAGTTCTTGCATAGAGGCCCCACTATGAGATCAACACAAGCAGCATCAACCGCTGTGGAAGAGACTCGAACGGGTGTCAAGCACCAAGATGGTGCTATCACTTCATCAATCACACTAAATGTGTTCGTGTCTTTGCCACGGTAGTCTTCTTTGGAAAGCGATGGTAGAAACAAATTGTTTAGTGATGTTTCCCCAGTACCACAGCCGACGGAAGCACCGCATTGCTTCAGAAAATCGACACCAAGAATGCCATTGTGCGAACGAGATAGAACCAGAAATTTGGATACAAATACTTTCCCAGCCAATGAAACACTGACAACACATACACCAAGAGGATTAAGCCACTCGCCGCCTACACCAAGAAAAGCGATTGTATCGTTCTATGAAAACGTGACTTTGCGACCTGAGCGGTTTCTCACGGCGAGGCTCATCACAGACACAGTCGCCACAGTGTCAACTAACGCCATTGTCCTTCGTGATTCGCAGCATTGTTGGTGGCAATACAGAGCGATATGCCCAGTGAAACCACATTGTAGCACATGGGATGGTCACGGTTCATACTATATTCATCGGAACGAATCCTGGGCCGCTGCTGTCGGCGAGGAAGTTCGTTATCACCCAAAGAACGGGTTTCTGCCACTCTTTGGAATCCATTGTATTTTTCGTAAGTTGCATCTTGGTAGTAGGGTCAGTACTGTCCTTGCCACAGTGGGATGTAGTTCGGCTGAGGGTCCTGAGTATAAGAACGCGGCTGTCCTAGGGAGGGCGATAGGCAGGGCCTCTATTGTAGAGACATGGCTGATACTGAGGTGTGGCATCAGAATCCTCAATGCCCTCCGCCATTCGGTGCGAGGAGAATGAAGCAACGTTTCGCTCGAACTCTGGTGGCAGGTAAGGGGGATGAGTGCTTGGGTGGTGTGCCACTTGCGCTTACAGGCCGAGTTCTTCACGTACTATTTGCCGGATCGTTGATGCAAGATCAAGTGTCTGGTTGCTGTCTACACTCACGATAGTCGTCACATTGGCTAGCCTGCCGAACTTCGGCGTGATGCGCCTCGTCTTTAGTCGCTCGAAAGTGTGGCAATGGCGAATGAAATCAGCGACAAATGTCAAGGTGTCTTTTGCGATGAGGAAACTGTAAACATCCTCGGCGATTCCTTTTAGAATGTGCTTGACTTTGTCTTCCTCGGACGTTCCGGAGTCAATGA